TTTGCAATGATATATCCAACACAGGAGTCATATTCATAATATATAAAGAACTCCTAGAAATCAATAATGAAAAGATCCCATAAAAAAGTGTGAAAAAGACTTGAACAATCACTTCACAAATGAGACTATTCAGGGTGCTAAATTATATTTAGTCACCAAAGAAGTTCAAATTAAAACCACCATGTGATATCTCTACTATGCACTAGAATGGCTAAAATGAAAAAAAAAATCCAGACAAGTGTTGGGTGAGGATGTAGAGCATCTAGAAATCTCTAACATTGCTGGTGGGAATATGAATTAGTATAGCCACTTTGGAAAACTGGTTATCTCTGTCTATTAAATCCAAACATACGTATACCCTATAACTCAGAAATTCCACTCCTAGGTAGAATGCATCCTCCAACAGAAAAGCACTCACATGTTCACCACGTAATAGAACTATACTCTCCAACATGATAGCCACAGCCACCAGTAGTTATTTAAATTCAAATTACATTAAATTAAAATCTTAGTTCCTCGGCTGCACTAGCCACATTTCAAATGCTTGATAGCTGCATGTTGCTAGCAGCTATTAAACTGGACAGTGAAGATATAGACCATTTTCATTATTGTAGAAAGTTCTATTGGACAGCACTGGACTAGAATGCTCACGGCAGCACTATGCATTCACCACCCCAAACTGGAGATGACTCAAATGCCCGTTAAAGTAGAATGGATCAGGCCGGGCGCGGTGGCTCACGCCTGTAATCCTAGCACTCTGGGAGGCCGAGGCGGGCGGATTGCTGGAGGTCAGGAGTTCGAAACCAGCCTGAGCAAGAGCAAGACCCCATCTCTACTATAAATAGAAAGAAATTAATTGGCCAACTAATATATATAGAAAAAATGGGCCGGGCATGGTGGCGTGTGCCTGTAGTCCCAGCTACTCGGGAGGCTGAGGCAGGAGGATTGCTTGAGCCCAGGAGTTTGAGGTTGCTGTGAGCTAGGCTGACGCCATGGCACTCACTCTAGCCTGGGCAACAAAGCGAGACTCTGTCTCAAAAAAAAAGAAAAAGAAAAATAGAATGGATCAGTTATTTGTGGTATATTCACACAATGGAATGCTATATATAGTGCTGACAATACATGATCTACAATTAAGCTGCATAACATGGGTGAATGTCACCACATAGTGCTGAACAAAAGAAGACAGACACAAAAGAGAACATACTGTATGACTCCGTATATATAAAGTTCAAAAACAGGTAAAATTAATTTATGGTGACAGAGATCAAGACAATGTTTGGCCTTGGGCAGTGACGGGGAGAGGACACAGGGAGAGTTCTGGGGTGCATTGTGTTTCTTGATATGACTGTGTTCATTTCGTAAAAATTCGCAGAGCTGCACACTGATTTTTGCACTTTTCTATATGTATATTTAGTGGTGTGCTGGTAAACCAGCTTTGAAAAGAATAAAAGAAAAAGTAGAAAAAAGAAAAAGAAAGGAAGGAAAGAAAGAAGGAAGCAAGAGCCCTGATTTGTACTGTTTGCCAATTTCCATGGTGTAAACATTCCCATTATGGTGGATTTCAAGCTAGCAGTGGTTCAATGACTGGCTCACGAAATTCCTGATTATTTAACTATTGGCTCTTATGGGCACATATCAGGTATTTCTACTAAAACAAAAAATCTCTAGAGAATCTCCCCATGAAATAATTTCTGTTCTTACTCCAGATGTTCAGAGATTTGTCTGGTGTCTTGGGTCCCAGAGGGGAGGAACAGCAACAGGCAGGAAGGGAAGGTTTGCTGGTCTGTCTGTCCACTGCCTTGTAAGTGGCAGGCGGGGACCTGGTTGTGACAACCTTTGTCCTTCGAAAGACATAGCTTGGGTCCCAGTTTTATTTTCAAGAGAGAGCTGCTCTTTCTCTGCATCTTCCCTGAGAACAGAGCGACAGGCTCCCTCCCAGGGCATTTTCCCACTTTTATGTGGAAAGAGTGTTCATGTGAAGTCAGGACGGGAGATTGAAGTTTCAGCTACTAACATGCTGTGTGATCTGGTCCAGTCCCTTCTCTGGACTCAGTTTCCACCTCTATATGTATATTTAGTGATGTGCTGTATATGAGGCAGTTGGGGTAGAGCCCCAGGGTAAGATCTGTAGGCTCAGCAGATGCCATCTTGGGTCCAACCTACAAGGTAAAGGGAACCCGTTTGCTTGAGTTATGCCCATCAAGTGCTCGTGCCAGGGGCTGGCACAGGGCTGGGCCCCCGATGGGAGGTTGGCAAACGCAGGTGGGCCAGGGTGCCAAGCTGCCGCGCGACTCAAGGGAAGGGAGAGAGAAGACGTGTCCTCCCCCAGAGCAGTCAGGGGAGGACCCTGCCGAGAAGACTGTGTGTCATTCTGCAGCGATCACTGTGGGATGACAACACCAGAGAAGAAAGAAAAGAACAAACCCTCGTCGAGCACCTATGTGTTCACCAAACCCTCACAGTCACAAAGGAAACGGGCCTAATTATCTCATTTTACAGGCGAATAAACAGAGGCTCAGATGATGGAAACATTTGCTCCAGTGGGTTTAGAACCTGGGTCTTTCAGCTCTCGCCGTTGTTGCTGCATTAGGCCCCATGCACCCCCAGCCCACACCCTTAGCCCCCTGCCGAGGTAAGACAAGTGCCACCCAGGCGCTGAAGGCCCTGGGCTATGGACAGAGGAAGGCTCTGGAATGATTCTCTCTAGCAGGGCCTGGGCTGCTGCAGAGGGACATGGAGTCCAGGTGGGCTCCGGTGGCCAGGGGGAGCAGACCCTAGATGCTGATGGTTTGGGGACTGACGGGGACATGCTGCTTTGAATGCAAAGAGAAGCAAATAGAACTCAAGGAAATAACAATGCAGTCAAGCTTCCAGAGGGTCCAGTGTGGGGAGTGCCCTGGGCTTGGATCCAGACGCCCTCCTTTTGAATCCTGTCTGCTCCGGCTGCTGGGTCCCCGGGCGTGTGACTTCTCTCTCCACGTCCCTCTCTCTCTCGTCTCTGAAGCATGCAGGCTGCACACTTCTGCAGAGACATCGGAGAACACGACCAGTCTTTCCCAATCACCCGGGCACAGTTCTGAGCGCAGGCAGGGCTGAGCCTCAAGGTAGCTGATCTAGGGTAGCCCTAGGGTGATCTTGGGCGGAGAAACAGAAGTGTCCCTACTCGTTCCTGTTTGCGCTTGGCTTTGGGATGCCGTGGGTGACAACCCCGGGGACCACGCTTTCCTTGGCAAGACTTCCAGATGCAGAAATCGTTTTCCCTCTGCCAGCTCGGTCTTTAGACTCTTCTTTTCCCACATTCCCACACTCGGTCCCCGGGCGATGTCACCCAAGGGAGTGACACAGCACTGAGCTTCACAGCACCGAGCAGCATCCACACACTGACAGCCCCCAGATTTGCATCTCCAGCCCCTGACTCTTCCCTGAACCCCAGATTCATATGTCTGGCTGCTGGCCCTGTGTCTTCACTCCAGTGTCTGCAAAGCTGCTCAGATGTAACATGTCCAAACCCTAAAGAACGACTCACGGGCCACGTTCCACCAAACCTGCCACAATCTTTCCCATCCCAGCACATGGCAGCTCTGTCCTTCATGTCCCAGACCCCACACATTGTCCTTTTTGACTCCTTTCCTTCGCATCCACCCCAAATCCAATGATTTTGCAAATCCTAAGAGTTTCACCTTCAAGTCTATCCTGTCTTGTCACCTCCGCCGCTAGCCTCCGAGTCAGAGGCCTGGTTGTCATCACCCGGACTGCTGTCCTAACCCCCTAACTGGCCTCCTCGCTCCCACCTGGGTTGCCCTCCAGCCTCTTCTGCCACAACCAGGGTGATCGGATCCTGTTTCAGTTCAAACCCCTCCAATGGCCAACCTTCCACGTGGCAGAAGCCACAGCCCTCCCGTGGCCTCCCGCAGTAGGTGGCCCTGGGTCACACAGCTGCTCGCCAGAACTGAAGCATTTTCTGTCGTCACACTGAGTCTGAGGCGGACCCAAGCCCACCAGAGGCCCTGCCAGGCTGCAATTCCCGCCAGCCTGTGGGCAGCCACCCTGGGCTCGGGACAGGGGAGGTGACGGCCGAGGTCGGCTGTCCCTGATTCACTCCTGATTAATCAAGCAGAAGGGATGGGGCTGTTATGCACGTCCCCCCAAATTTTAGCAAGTGGTCAATGGCTTGGGGGGCTCAGGGGGACATCAAGGGAGCAAGCAGGTGTCTGCCGCAGGGGAAGCAGAAAAGGACCCCGGGGCCAGGGTGGTGGCGTGAGTTGGTGAATACAGAGCCGGGAGGCTTGGGGAGGAGCTTGAGGGGGGCTGCAGCCTTGGGTCCCAGGGTGCACCCGGCTGAGCCCATGCCCTGGCCTCACAGGCATGAGGAAGTCACGAGAAGACTGGGAGGGGCAAGATCATCCAACAGCCTCCGTAAATGAGGAATTTCCTGGCAGGGATGCTCACTCGGGACGGGTTTCCCTGGGACAGCAAACCCCAAGGAGTGTGTCCTGTGGAACACAGTCCTGTGAGACACTCCTTGTGGTCAGTTAAGTGCGGGAAGGGCGGCAGGCTTTCTCTTTCCCATGGGATCCCCATAACACTCATCATCATATTAAAGGCTCTGAAAAGTCCTGCAGCAGCAAAGCTTTTTTAACGTGTTTCACCCAGCATTTCCCACACACATTAATATTTGGCCACAGAGTCTCTGTGTGTGTGTGTGTGTGTGTGTGTGTATAAAATCCCATTAATATGCCTCAAAGGAACTCCGATCCACACTACTTTGGGAAGGGCTGATACAGGGGAATTGGCCAAAGTGGGATTTTTAATTTTCTGGGAGCACCTTGCAGACAGCAGGGTTCTTGCCCTCTTCCCACCCAGCATGCCACATCAGCTTCTGGCTGGATCCTGGAGGTCTTTGGCGGAACATCCTAGAGCCATTCTCGGCAACCCTGACTCCAAGCTCTGCCCTCACCTGGCCCCGAGCGGCGGTACGATGCAGGGAGGAGACTTACAGGGGCAGGGACGTTTGAAGGACATGTAATCCTTGGAGCAGAACAGCGGAGCCAGCCTGCCCCGGGCACAGCTCTGACTTCTCGCAGGGAAGGCACCTCCACTCACCTGCAGAGACACAAACAGGCAGGTGTTGGAGGTGCCCGCACCCCCCGCTGCCCCTGCAGGCTGGGTGCTCACATCTCCCAAGCTCTCAGCCTCTTGGGGAGAGGACGGTGATCTTGAGAACACACGTCCAGTCTGGGCAAGGCCTGGGGGACCTCTGGGCTATAGGGTATTTGGGTGTGGGTGCAGGGGTGGGCGGGGCCTGCAGGGGCCCCGGTGCAGAGTGGCGGATGGGGAGAGGACTATCTCTCTTGGGTGGGCCCTTGACTGGGAATTAGAGATGTCACGGAGTTCTCCAGTCTCACGAACCCATGAGGTCCCTTTGCCTTGGACGACCGCAACAGACCACGGCATCCTGAGCACCTTATAACGTCATGCTGGGACAACTGACACCTGCAGAGGGTGAGGGGCTGGTTCGAGGTCTCACAGATAGTTTTGGAATTGTGTTACTGACACCAAGCCTGAACCATATTATTATTATTATTATTATTATTATTATCCTGACAACTCTAAGAGGAGTTTTCATTCTCATTTTATAAATAAGGAAATTGAAGCTCAGAGAGGTTATGGAGCCTACCCAAGGTCACACAGCTTCTAACTACAGGCTGGGTCTAGAATCCAGGTCTTCTGGATTCCAAAGCCCACACTGTCAGCCAGCACGCCCCTTTGGAAGGCATCTATATATTAAATTACTGATTCAGAAATAAATGCCTACGGAATGAAAATACTTCTTCACCAACTCCGCCCCCTTCCCATATGAACTTGGTGTGAAGCCTGGATGTCCAGGGCAGTGAGGGAGTGCCAGGTCCCCTTGACACCCATTGGCAATGGAGGGAACATTTTCAACAAGTCACCCATCCTCCCATGATGCTAAAGATCTGAACTGGTCCAGTCTCTCTTGGTGTATCCTCAAGTGACATGAGGCTTTGGGAACCGGAGGCAGAGAGGGTTCCTGGTCTCTAGGGGGTGTGGTCACTCAGCCTGCAGAAACCAAGCTGCACCTTTGGGGGGTGCTGAGCGGGGCCCATGGGTGCCAAGCCCAGTGGGCTCTTGTAGGGAAGCCAACAGGAAAAGATCGGGCCCTCTCTAGGTGTCATGAGTGGGGCATGCCCTTTGTCCCCAAAGTATGCGAATGCCTCTAATCACTGCTTTCCCTGGGAGGACACTGAGGCTCGGGAGGCAAGACGCTTTGCCCAAAGCCACACTGCCAAGGAAGCAGCAGGGCTGCTATGAGCACTTGAGGATCAGATTTCTGAGCATAAATTCTGCAAAAATGGGGCTGTGATTCATTTGTTAAAGAGAAAAACCAATCATCAGTCAATGCAGTCTGGCTGCATTCCCATATGTGGACGCCTTCTGGACACTGGGGGCTATAGGTATGGCTCACACTCACCAAACACCTGCATGTGCCAGGTAATGTCACCAACGTGATGCCAACAAGCCCTCTGAGGTAGAGAACATCACTCCCATTTTGCAGATGAGAAAACTGAGGCTCAGGGAGAAACCCATCCAAGTGCACAGAGGAGAGATGTAGGAGGAGCTGTGTGGGGAGGGACCCTGTCATGCCCGGTGCCCCTCAGTTACTGCCAGGAACACCCCCAGACACCTGCCGCTCTGGGGCTCTAGCTGGCCTGCTTCATGGTCACACTGAGCCTGCCATTCTTGCAGGCTGTTCCCTCTCCCTGGCATGTCATCCCCCACACACGGCAAACTCCTACGTGTCTGTCAACACCCAGCTCAAGAGACCCCTCTTCAGCCAGGTCTCCCCTGACTGCTAGGACAGTCACGCTGGCTGTGCTTCTGAGGCACCTGGACGTCCTTCCAGGACGACCCTGGTCCTAAATTATTCTAGACTAGTAGCTCCTCGAGGGTGTGGAGGGCCAGCGTGGCCTCTGCCAACCAGCTCAGGGCTGGGCACTGAGGGGACATCCAAAAGCACACGGGAGCACTAGGATGAGCCAGCTTCGGCCTGATGGGAACACACGACTGGGGCGTGGAGGCCGCCTTTAAGTGGTGCTCACCTTGCCGAGGAGGAGGATGCCTGAGTAAGAGCTGAGATGCTTCCCAGGCATCTTGTCACCCTTGGTGACAATGACGCTGACATCAGCCAGGGCTACCATTCCCTGCCTCGTGCAGCACAAGTGGCACTCTACACACACCGCCGCAGCCCCTTGGCACCCGGGCTGGCATTCATTGACTCATTTACCAAGCACCTCTGATGTCCCACGAAACCCCGGGAAAACGCAAGGACTGGCTTTGTGAGTGTCGGCTTCCTTCTCCCCTCCCCCTACTTGAGGATTTCAGCATGAGGTCCCTGCAGGAAAACCATTTCCTGGTGGCATCAGCCCCTCTGGCTGGGGGGGGGGAGCTCTGTTGGGGGCCATCAACACAAAGGGGGAGGGGGCCACGTGAGCCAGTGCCCACCCTGGCTTCCCTGCGTGTGGCCAGTGCCGCAGTGAAGGTACAGGGATGAGGGCACAGATGGGCTGACACTGGGGGTGGGGACAGGCCCCCAGCTGCCGGGCAAGCGTGGGCCCACGCCCCGATCCGAGCCCAGAGCCCAGCATTCGAGGAGGCTTGTTCCCGCTGGTGACTCATCTCCGACTGGATTGTCTGGCTGGGAGCTCCAGGGCGGGCGGGTGGCACTCCAGGCTTTGAAGTGGCTGAATGGTGTGTGGCGAGTCCACATCACTCCCCTTCGTGTCCCTACTCCTGGAATGCCTCCGCTCTGGGCTCCGCTGTGACACTCAGAACTGGGCGGATGAGAGTGGGAGCCGGGGGACGGCAGCCGGGTCGCCAGTGGGAGGGGAGCCTAGCAGCCACGTGTCGCGGGCAGCACACCGGAAAGGGCTGCAGGAGCCGCTGGCCTCATGAGAGAGGGCCTACGGTGTCCTCCTGTTTACACGGCACCTGCTCAACCGCTGTCACACGCTGTCAGCTCACTGGAGTCTCAGAACAAACCCCCATTTCACAGATGACAACGCTGAGACTCAGAAGCACGAAGGGGCACGGTCTGCCCCAAGAGTGCCCCGAGGAGGATTCTAATCAGGGCTCGACTTGGTCACCTTTCCTCTCTGTAGGAAGGTGGAGAGTGGGACAGGGGTGGGAGGCAGGTGGCAGGAGCATGAGAGGCTGTGGCAGAGGCAATAGGGACTCGGTAGAGGCAACAGTGACCGCAGAGGAGGGGGAGAGACCTCTGTCACCTGGTGTGGCAGGCTTTGGGTGCTGGGGTGGAGTGGATGGCCACACTTTGACAGCCCCTGTCCTCAGGGGGCTTGCCCGCTACAGGTGGAGCGACAACAGTAACGGCATCGTTGTTTAGATGGCAGTACGGGAAGACACGGAGGCAGCGTGTACAGGTGGGGACCGCGCATTTAGATGCAGCAGCCGCAGAAGGTCTTGGGGAGAGGATGACATGCATCTGCCAGCGGGGCAGGTACCTGGGGAGGAGATCCCAGGTAAAGGGAGCAGAGAGTGCAAAGGGCCCGGGGCAGGAACATGCTGGCTGGGTTTTAGGGACAGATGGATCTGACACGGAGAGTGAGGAACAGGGAGCAGTGGAGGACGCTTTTCTGCATCTGCCTGGGCGACTGGTGGACAGTCGAGATGGGAAAGGTAGTGACTCCAGGTCTAGGCAGTCCGGACAACCACTGTGTCCCTGGCACCTAGCCCAGTGCCTGGCGCATAGGAGGTGCTCAGTGACTGTTTACTGAATGAATGCGTGGTGGTATCTCCCAGGCGTTCCATGGATCTGTGGGTGTGCGTGTGATTGCTCAGGTCTGGGAGGAAGTCAGGAATTCCAGGGACCTGCTAATCTTGAAAGGCCTGCATCTGCCTCAGCAAGGCAGGGGCTAACTCCTGGGGCTGCAGGTGGGGGTCCTTGGGCAGCTGAAAACCTTTTTCTCATCATGAGAGGTCTTTATGTGAGGCTGGGACCCAGCTGGTAACTTCCCTAATGGAGAAGAATATACCTTGGCAAGTGCAGATAAATGTCATGTTTGTCATATGGTTGAAAGGAGGAATGAATGAATTGGGGCAGGGGGCAAAAGAGCGAGAGGACAATGACAAAAAGGTGGGCAGGAGGCATCCAGGTTTGCAAACAGGTAACGTGGTCCTGATATTAGAAAAGGGATCCAGGTGTGTGAGGCTTTCTGGCTGCCCCTGCAGGAAGGCGGCTTTCTGGCTACAAGCAACACCTGGCCACATGTTTGCACCCCCTGGGCAGTGGTCAGGGTATGCCTGGAGGTTGCTGGGTCTCCATGTCGCCTTAATCTACCTGGAGTTGCCTTCTATAGGATCCACTGCCAGTCCCTTCCCCACTCTCGTGGCCCGATTTTAGAAGGCTTGAGTTACTGTCTAACTGCATAAACCAGTCCATCTGCAAGCTGCAAATAGGTCCTGACCAAGTGGCTAGAAAAACCAGATTCAGAAAATACCAGTAGAGACATAGACGAGCATTATTTATAGCAGTGAAACATGGAAGGCAAACCCAATGTCCAGCAAGGAAGGCTAGGCTAAGCACACGCTTACAACGAAATATTATATGCTGTGAAATCACGTTTTCAAGGAAATTTTAATAACATAAAGACTTTCAGTATAATGTTAAGAGGAAAAGAACATCAGGTTATTAAAACACCAGGTTATAGGACTGTGCATACACCATGATCCTTATTTTATAAAAGAAAAAAATATCTAGGGAATATATTCATACACAATAAAAAAAAAAGATCAGAAAGGAAATAGACTAAAAGAGTAAAAAAAAAAATTGTACTCTTTGGGTGGTAGCAGGATTAAGGAGGATTTTTATGTTCTTTATATTTTTTTATGAATTTTTCCAAATTTTCTACAATGAACATGTGTGACTTTCATAATCTGAAAAATCATTAAAGTGAAGATTTGAAAAAACCTTTTGTGATAGCAAACTAAAAAAGTAATTAAGTGAACGAGTCAAGGATAGTTAACTCATTGAAAGTTTTTAAAGCTAATTTAATCACCTGTGACGATGTCATTTGCTATTGAAAAGATTTTTTAAAACATGCACATGTCTTTGAACTTAACTGATAAGAAGCTTTGTTAAAATATTAGGAACATAATCTTCATTGTTTTTAGCCTTTATCAAATTATCTCTGGCACTTAAGTAAGTCTTATTTGCCAAATATTTGAAGGAACGCTTTCTGCTATGAACCTTAATGTTTTAATTTCAATGAATATATACACTTAGCAAAAATAATAACAATAATAGACCTTATGTTTGTAAAACACTTTATAATTTTGCAAAGCACACTAAACGTGGGTACTATTCTACGCTCTTGGGATGTCTCAGTGAACAAAATGGTCAAAAGTTCCTGCCTTTGAGGAGCTCACATTATATTATTACATAATAAACAAATGAATAAGATATACAGATGTTAGGGCTGATAAGTGTTATGGAGAAAAAAGGACAGGAATGTATGAGAGGTTGCTCTTTTAAATCAGTTTGATTCCTGTTTGAACAGAAAGAAATGAAGGTGTCTAAAAATTCTATAGCCCATGGACCGTTAACATATTCTTTTTCAGTTCTCAGACATAAACTGTTTGAAGATATACACGGGGAATCATTCCAATAACTAATCACATGCCATCTAAGTTACAATGTGCTAATTATCAAGTTTACAAGTGCATATAAAATTATGATGAGTCATAGTGAGGTTTTAAGGATTCTATACCTAGCAGAGCGAGATGGCCCTTAACCTTTCTAAGCCTCAGTGTTCCCATCAATAAAATGGGAACGATTATAGTATCTAAGTCAGAGAGCTGTTATCAGAAATCAAAGAGAGAATGCTCATGCTTAGGAAACCATGTGTCATGCATGTTCATAATGCAGACCGAGCAGGGCCACTGGCCGAGGTCCACTGGACATTGCTACTTGCTTTCTATATATTATTTCTTCAGTTCTCACACTATCCCAGGAGGCATGCAATATTTATTCCCATTTTCAAGAGAGAACTGAGGGTTTGAAAGATGTCAACTGCCCAGAATCACATGCTATAAACCCAGGCAGTCCAGCTCCAAGAAGCTGTGCTCTCAGCCACAACTATTGTTTGCAATCACTTGCTGAGGGATTCCAGAAGCCCTTCTGGCCTCAATTTCTCCTTTTAGGAGGCTGAGAGCAGATTTATGCCTTCCTGGCTCTCATCCTCTGCTCTGAGCATTTCCGGGGCAAGGACTTCAGGTTATGGTCCTCTGAGGCTGTCCAGTGGCTTAGTCCCAAAGACTGACGATAATGTCCATATCCCCACCATGTTCCCTATTGGCTGTTCCAAACACCGTATGAACCAGTAGCCACACACCTAATTAGTATCTGATTAACTCCTTTGGGAAGATGAGGAGTGAGGATTATGGAAGATGCAGGAATGTGACACCCTAGCGGTGTGTGGGGGAAGGGAGGGAGGGCTACAGAGGAAGGAGAGAGGAGGTAGCTCATTCTGCCTGTCTCCCCAGGTCCCCACCTGGCAACACCTGGACATGTTTCCTCATCTGAAGTCCCGACATGGGTGTCCCCAAGCTGGGCCATGCTTTCTTCCCACCAATGCTCCTGACACCTATACCCTCCATGCCACCTCGAGGACCCCAGCATCCTCCCCTGGGTTTCGGCACGCTCTGCTCTGGGCCTCAGGCCCCAGCTACACAGACTGGGGCAGGTCCCTTCCTGGGGACCGCCTGGCTCTGCAGTTCTAACCTCTCAGTCAGTCACCATTTCCTCCCTGAGGGCCATCGTTTCGGGTGCCCCGTGCCCCAGTCGCCTGGATAGACACAACACAGTCAGCAAGGACTCAAGGCTGGGACGCCTCAGACCTCCCGGCTGCCCGAACCATCACCACAGGCATGTCCAAGCCACCTGGAGGGTCACCCCTCAGGGAAAGCAACCCTCCCCTTGACTCCAAACCCCGGAGTGGAGAGAGGTGTGTGCAAATTCCCTGTGCGACACGTGGGGCTCCCCTGCCTGTGGTGGCAGACATCAGCCAGGAGGGAGAGGAACGAGCACCCTACGATCAGATACAGCCTTGTCCAGCCTGCCCAGGAGATGGGTGGGCAGACAGTGGGGAACTGGGCTGGGTGGCGGAGAAAGGGCCGGCCCTAAGGAGAAAGTTATGCTTTGCGGTTAGATGTCAGTAGGCCATGCGGGATTCAAAGGCCTCCCTGGAGGGGAGGAGCGGGGCATCATGTCCCCACCGCTGCAGGGGAACTCACTTCCTCTCCGCATCTCCTGGTGCTGGACATCTCATAAAATGACACCTGTGGCCAACAGCAGCTGAGTACTGGATATATGTCAGGCTCTGGGCTAGGCCCCCCACAAGCATCATCTCATTTAATCCTCCCAATGAACCTTCCCCATGCTTCCGATGGGGAAACTGAGGCTCTGAGACCTTACGTGTCTTGCCTAAGGTCACACAGCCAGGAAGTCATCCAAGTCCACCCTGCAGTTCCAAAACCCTCGCACATTCTGCTTACAATGGAAACCTGCTTACTTTTCAGATGAGCAAACTGAGGCACAGGGTCTTGAAGCCACTTGTTCCAGTTAAGCAGTCATGACGTTTGAGGAGAAAGTCCAGACGGGCATCCTCTTGGCAGATGCCCGTGGGACTACGTGGATCAAGACCCAGGCCCAGGCCCCGGAAACCCACGCCTCTCACACCGGTCACTTGAGCCCCCCCCCCCTTTCCGGCCTGCGCCCGGCCACCAACGCTGGCACCAGCCCGGGATCAGGAGGGCAGCCCTGGGTCCTCCCGGCTCACCAGCCTTCAGCCCGCGGAGCCCGATGGGGAGAGAAGGGCCGCGCGAGTCAGCCGTGGCGAGGGGCACTGCCAGCTTCCGAGGGCGCCTGGGAGGGGCAGCTATGCCGCTCGGCGCTGCGCAGCCCGCCGAGGCCACCGCCTCGGACTCAGCCTCGGGTCACTCCTACAGCGCAAGGGAAAGTCTGCCCCAAATGGGGAGAAGGTGCGGCGGGGACGCTCGCTCTCCCCCGCTGGTGCTGAAATAGGCCAGCGCGGCAGGCACGGAAACAGGGGCATGGCCCGGGTGACCCGCCTGTCACAGGGTCAAACTTCCCGGCTCAAAGGGGTAAGGGGTGGTTCAAGCTCCAAACTCTGCAAAGCCCCAGTCCCTTTCCTGTCCCACCGCGGCCGAGAGTGTGCCCCAGTTTCCCCTTCTTGGGTGGGTTGTTCAGGGGTCCCCAAACCGAGGGCGCGAAGATGGGGAGACTGCCTTTGACTCCCACATGGGGTGGGCGCTCCTCCGGGACTCGAGTCAGGCAGGAGCCGCAGAGACCTCCCCTTTCTCGGGGCCCGTGCTCCAGGGCAGCCTCGGCCCGCGCCGGTCCAGGTGGCCCGCCCGGGGCGCGGGTAGGCAGGGGACCTGCGGTGCCGCTCCGTTCCGAGCGCGCTGCGGTTCCGCTCCGGACCGCGCATCCGCCCGCCCGGCGCGGCGAGGCTCGGCGCGACCCCGGTGTGTGCGTTCGCCGGGGCCACCGCAGAGCGCGGGGGCAGGGGGCCGGGACCCCCTCCCCGACCCCTTCCCAGCGCCGCCCCCGGCCCCACGCCCCTTACTCGGCTTGGCTGCCGCGCTCCGCTCCGTGCGCCGCAGTGCCGGCTCCAGCTTCGGCTCCAGCTCCGGTTCCCGCTCCGGCCCCGGCTCCCGCTCCCGCTCCCGCTCGGATGCCACCGCGCTCGGGCTCCGGCTGGGGCGTCGCGGGGGGCGCGCCGCTCCGCCTCGGCCTGCAGGGCGCACAGGGGCGGGGCGGGCGGGCCGGGCGAGCCGAGCCCAGCAGACCCGCCGCCGGCGATCCCCGGCCGAGGCGGCGGCCGCGGCTTCCAGGCCCCGGCCCGGCCCGGCCTGCCTGCGCAAGCGCAGGCAGCCTGTCGTCCCCGCGCCGCCACCCACGCCACCGTCACTGGCTTGGCCCCCTCGGCGGCGGCGCGGCTCCCGGGCCTCAGCAGCGCTGCGCCGCGGCCCGGGTCATCCCTGAACTGGGGACGCGGGTTGAGGGGGGAGGGCCGAGCCGCGCCCCTCTGCGCACAGCCAGCCCGACACCCACACAGCGGCAGGCAGGCGGGGCAGGGCGGCAGGGAGGCCGAGGGACGCAGGGAGGCCGGCGACCAGCCAGACGTGTGAAAAGGACAGACGACAGGCGTGTGTAGAGAATGGCATGCAGATGGGAACGGAGGACTGACACGTGCAGAGAAGGGTAGATAAACGACATGTCAGGGAAGGACAGCCAGACAGGTTGGACGGAGGCAAGGCTGGGCACTTGAGCAGGGGACCCTGCCACAGGCAGAGATCGAAGGACAGCGTGGAGAGGGGTCACAGCCTGGCAGGGCCTCCCGCTCCCAGTTGCTAGCAGGTGAGTTCTGGGGCGCGCCAGGGTGGCAGCCAGGCCTTCCCTCTGAGCCACCAGCAGGCCTGTTTCCTTCACCCCTCACTCCACCCTGGGTGCCCCCTCCCGCCCCCAACCTCAGGGCATGGAGCTCAGCCCTGGCAGATGCCAGCTTGTCCCGAGAGGATGCCTGGCTCAGGGCAGGGTTCCTGGCTTCCAGGACCTGCTCTGTCCTCGCCTACTTTGGGGCCTTGGACAAATCCCTGTCCATCCCCCAAGTCCCCTTTTTCATTAGGCTATTGCACCCCTACTATGTTGTGCGTTCCTCCCTTGTGGCATCGTTTATTTCATCTCCTCTACTTGCCTGGGGGCCCCACGAGGGCAGGGTCCGGGTGGGGGACAGACAGGAGTCTGCACACCCGTGCACTCAGCAAATCTGATAAATGAACCAGTGGAATACACTGTTGCTAACCCTCTCCAAGCCCCCGTTTTGCTGATGAGGAAACTGGGGTTTAAGGAGGCCAGGTGATTCAAAGCTGGGTTTGTCTCAAAAGCCAAAGGCTTGCCACCCTGCCTGGAAAGGTTCTCAAAAATAAAACATGGTGACAAGGAGCTGAACGTGTTCATGATCAGCCTTGGGAGAGCCCCGGGGACGGAGTGGAAGGGAAGGGTGGGGAAACAACCCTACTCTACCTGGGGTGGCCCTGCCTATCGTCCTGCCTTGGGCTTCCATGGGGGTATTTGGGGGAGCCTTGAGGGCCAGGGCCTGGGTGGGTGAGGACACCTCCCAGCCACCCTTGGTCACTGTTCCTTCTGCGCTCTGCCTCCTGCACTGCTTACCCCATCCCTGCTGCAGACTGTGGGGGTCACGACCCAGACTGTCGCATTCCTGCTCCATCTGGGGCTGTCGTGGGGACATCTGCACCGTGCGGGGGATGGGGCCGGGATAAAGAGAAACAACAACGCTAAGATGACCTTGATCTCCCTGAGCAGACACCTGCTGACCCTTACAGATGGCTATTCTAGTTGTTGAGCAGTTTTACCTGGAAGCATCTCCTTTGGCAAGACTGTGTGTGTGTGTGTGTGTGTGTGTGTGTGGTGGTGGTGGTGCTCACTTTGAGTCCTCGTGGAAGGTTCTAGCCCTAAAGATGTCATTCCCCTCCATTCCCCATTTGAACATCATTGATCTGGCAATCCGGGCATATTCCTCAGACTGGGACCTAGAACTGTTTTCCAGCGGTGTTAGATCTAGCTGGTTTCAGGGAGTTGTCTTATGGCTGTTTGCCTACCTGTCTCTATCTAACCATCCACAAATGCACATTAGTGTAGTACACTTGGCAAATACCAGAAGGAGAAAGAAAAAAATAAAAACCAGTCACTGTTAATACTGGAGGTTTCTTTTTTCCTTTCTTTTGAGTTGCATAACTCTACAAGTGTCCTTAAATAGATTTGAATCCCCTCGTCTCTTTAAACCCCCATTTCCTGTACTGTATTTGATGTAACAAATCCCCTATTGCTGGGCATTTGGTTTGTTTCAGGTTTTCACACGTGTAAACAACACTGCAATGGACATCTTTGTGGGTGAGTTTGTCCATGTCCGTGGTTATTCTCAATGTCAATAGGCATATTGTATCTTTGAGAATTTCCTCTGTGTGGAGTCAGATTTGCGGGAGTGGCATCTACTGGACACCGGGGAAGCACAGTGGTGTCTCTCCTGTCACCCCAGTCACTCACAGGGAATCCCAAGGACCGTGCTATCAGTTTGTAAAGAACAAGGCCCATGATGTCGTTCCTTCTAAAAGAGCCCGTGGGGTGGAGATGTCGGAGTGGCCTTCTGGGCCTGTTCAGCTTCTGCCTCCCCCACCGTCCTTCCTTCCCCTCTGAATCTTTCTGTCCTGCTGCCTCTCCCCTCCCCCCCCTCCCCGTGATGGTTAATTTGCCAATTTTATTGTTAGGGGCGTCTTCTGATATTAAGGGTAGAAGAGGTGAGGGGGAAAGGATGGCCTGGCCTCTGGGTGGGATGTCTGTCTAAAAAACCCTTCAGACCTTTCTGGAAGGTTACCTCTTGCTAGTAGATCCCTTTTACAGGAGTACTGTCTATCGAAAGTGTCTTCCCAGCCTAAAATTGCAATCCCAGCTCTCTGTATTGCCTTGACCTTGGGGATGGGAGTACACCCTACTTTAAAAAGGGAGGCGGGAAAACCTATCCCACCAGTTTTGTGAAAAATGTGTCCCGTTTCCATGTGATTTTTAAAGGTCCCCTTTATCATGCCTTGGTAGTGCTGGGGGGGGGGGGTAGACGCAGGAAGAGACCTTGGTTCCTACCTGGTGGGGGCGATGTGGAGGGGACAAGGAACAGGGCCCTCCCAGGGCCACAAGCTCAGAGGTGGCAGCTGACATAGAAGGAGGAAACTCAGGGCAGAGAAATGTCTGTAACCTCAGAAGCACTTCTTCTGCAGCGCCACTCTGCTGAGAGCTTGGAGGGTTTTGTGCTTTTACTCCCACCTTACAGATGAGCAAACTGAGGCCCTCAGAAGTTAACCGACTTTCCAGAGAGGCGCAGCTGGTTGAGTAGTGCCAGGTAAGATTACGAAACACTTTAAAATAGATTAAAAAGATTAGCAGGTGTTCTTTTAATTGCCTATTAGATGTTACCTGTTTCTGTAGGGGTTTGTGAGCTATTTTATTATTCTGTCAGTTATAGAAAACTGGTAATAATGCAAGCTATTTTTGTTCATTGAGCTGCAGATGAATTTTGTCAGGTGAGGTCAATTGAGATCTTGGGGTAGGGGGTGGTCAAAGCTCTTTGGATTCTCCTTTGAATTGTGCATAAACACCTTACTGGTTTCCTCATTAACCAGTTAAATAAAATCTTTGACATGTGTTCATTATATAGTTGTCTGACATTCATGATTTTATCCTTTAAAAAAACGTGTCCTCCAACAGTGGTAAGCTCAGAATTTCATCCAGATGGTCGGTCTTACACCAGAGCTTTGTCTTTTGTTGGAGACATTAGACCTCAGAAGAGGGGAAATTAGTGTTGGCTGGGTCAGTCCTAGAGGGCTTTCTGGAAGAGGGGGCTTTGAAGGGTTTATAGAGTGAGACCTGAGGGTAGAGAGCTTTCTAGGCCAGACGGATGGGCCTGGGGTCAGGAAGGAGCATAGAGGCGGGAGAAGAGGCCTGTCTGAATGGAGGGTGGGCCCTGAGATGCTGGGGACCAGATGGGAGCTGGGAGTGAGACTCCAGGTAAAAGGTGCTGCAATTGATGCTAAAGGCAGTAGGGAGCCACTGAAGACTCTTGAGGGAAGCAGGGACTTAATGAAGTGGACATGTTAAGAAGGCTTACTCTCTGGGGTCCTAGATCCTTCTGGGGATTTTATAAACCCTGCCCAGTCTTTCTTCTGGCTGGAGGGGCTGGATGGGGCCACCCCTTTCTATCTTCCTGTAGGAGGGAAGCTTCCCTTCCAGGGGCCTGGGAGAGGTCTCCAGGTACTGAAGGGTAAAAGGCAGCCCTCCTCTTCTGTCCTCACTTACATGTTATTTAATTCCATTCTCCCAACATCCTGAGCAGCGGGTAATATTTTCTTCATTTTCCACATGCAGCAACAAGGTTTATACATGTTGGCCGGGCGCGGTGGCTCATGCCTGTAATCCTAGCACTCTGGGAGGGCGAGCCGGGAGGATCGCTCAAGGTCAGGAGTTCGAAACCAGCCTGAGCAAGAGCGAGACCCCATCTCTACTATAAATAGAAAGAAATTAATTGGCCAACTAAAAACATATAGAAAAAATTAGCCGAGCATGGTGGTGCATGTCTGTAGTCCCAGCTACTTGGGAGGCTGAGGCAGGGGGATTGCTTGAGCCCAGGAGTTTGAGGTTGCTGTGAGCGAGGCTGACGCCACGGCACTCACTCTAGCCTGGGCAACAAAGCGAGACTCTGTCTCAAAAAAAAAAAAAAGGTTTATACAAGTCAAGTGACTTCCTTGGGGTCACACTAGGCGCCAACTAGGGGCAGATTTCAGATGTGTGCCCAAGCCTGCCCCAAATAGGTGAAGCAAAACCAAACAAAGTCTCTCCTTCATGGGGCTCACTGCCTAGAGTGGGCGACACATGCTAATCAAGGAGTCACAGGGATAAATGCGAAGTTGCACCGATAGATGTGCCACCAAGGTCTGACCTTGTCAGGGGGTGGGATGAGGCCAGAGAAGTGGGCAGGGCCAAGGACTGAATGTGATCAGGACAGCAGAGGCCTTAGAGTGTTTTCAACAATGTTGGAGTGGCACAAGCAGACCTGTGTTTTGAAAAGACAGCTTTATAGGTACTGGGAAGGTGGACGGTCCTGGCAAGACAGAATGGAGGCAGGGAAGCTGG